AAACCCTAAACCCAAAATAATCCCTTATATAATATGATGCTTAGAGTTCTGATCCAAAGAGCCTGGGCTCTTCATCTGCCTTGGACCCGGCAGCGGCAGCGGCCGCGGCCGCGGCAAACTGTTTCAGGGCGCCTTACAAGGCAAAATGGTTCAGAGAAGCTGTGAAACATGTAGCCGTGGTTGTCCAATATTGTAGGGAGTGGGAAGCTGTATGACCCCACACCACACTCTGATTTTAGCAAATACTTGGGCTATGGCGCTGTTCACCTGAAGTCTTCGCCACGTTCTCTTGCAAAGGACAAACACTACTCGATTAACTTGCCAATTGTCCTTCTCGTCCCTGAACGGACACTCCCTCCAAACCATGGACATATTCCGATTAGCCCATCAAAGCCAAGGAGCTGCGAACTTTGGCAGCATCCCGGTCGGTAGGGGTGATCCAGAGGGTGGAAGGCAGAGGCTGCCGGAGGCCTTAGGAAACAGGACTTTCCATTGATGCGTTCAAGGCCTTCTTGCTCGCCGGAGTCGTCCTACTTTCATCTTGCGACAGTTTCTGATTTCAAGCAGCGAAATGCTTTCATGAAACAAGGCCCGGGTCCTCACCAACTCCGACTAAGGCTTCGCCTACACTTCTCATCAAACTCAGGAGATGTCATGAGGACTGCCAGCTGAATTATCACTCGTTCAGATCTGCATGGAGCATCCTGCACCTTAGAACGCTGCAGAAATTCATTGCAGGATTCACTCTACAGAAAAATATGCCCAGATCTAGGACCTGCGCTCCCGGAAAGTCTACGCTAGCTGCGAGCAATAGCCATACTGACAGCCTGGTGACTTGTGCTTCACTTCTTGGACCATCCGTCAAATCGCTGCAATGAAGGTTAGGCATCCACTGTCCAATCTACTCACAACAGAGGAGATGGCAAGTAAATTGAGGCCGCTCTAAATCCATTATCTGGTGCTGTAGCATTGAAATCAAAGATGTGTCAAAAAGCCACCCACAGGTTCTTCGACAAGAGCATAGTACTGTCTGCAGATTCCTTCATAAACCCAATGGAAGCAAGCTGAGGAGCAAAGATCTGGCCAACCACATGGAAACAAGACAGAGCAAGAGAAAGCCGAGAACATAGTTATACCCCATAAATGACACTAGAACCCAAATATAATCCCTACATAACACCAATAGTACCCCTATATAACCCTAACATAACCCCTATATAACCCCAATGTTTGTCCCAAAGCAAGGGACGGCTCGAAGGGAGCCTTACCCACTAGTGAAACTCCCTGAGCCCTCCGCTGTCCAGGAATGTTTCCCAGTCTGAGCCCTCCTGGCAGGGATTTGGAAGCAGCCTGCAGAGCCAGGATTGAAATAAAATGGAAACTACTATAGTATATAGGGGTTATATAGGGGTTATATATTGGGAATACTGGAAAATAAAATGGAAACTACTACAGTACAGAAGCATTTGAAACTGACTCAGGTTTTTCTCTGCCTGAGAATGACCTCACCCCCCGGGCACCTCCAAGAAGGGACTTATAGCCTAGATATTAATATACAATAATTTACTATAATATAACCCTAACATAACCCCAATATACTATCTCATTTTCCATTCTATTTTCCATTTTCCCCAATATTATCCCAATGGGTGAGTGCCGTCCAGGCTCACCCTCAAGAAATGACGGCAGCGGTCCTTGATGAGGCCACCTTCCACCTCTGCAAGGGGCTGAGGGCTCGAGTGCAGTGTTACGTCTGGGTGGACAGGTCAAGAAGTCAGGACATCACCCACTCCGTCTTTGCATCATTCTGCATCGTTTTTGGGGATGGACGTGTCTCTGCGGTCTGACTCTAATTCATCTAGCTTGGGGAGCCTAAAGTCAACTGCTGCAACCCGGGACTCCTGTTCCTCTTTCGTAAACTCTATAGCCAAAGACTCTCAACCTTCATTCAGCTCTAAACCCCTCCAGTCACCAGTCCTCTTTCTGAAACCCACTTTAGTTGACCCAAACTCTGAGGACAACCTGAATCATGGTAAGGGCGGCACTAAATTAGTCCAGTAGAAGCTTTCGAAAGCGCCATTGCGCTGTCGCTGGGCAATGGCCGGGAGCCTTAGAAGACCAGGCAAATACATCTTTAACATTGAGATTCTGTAGGAATATTGCGGTGACATGCGGTGACTGGTCTGCTGCAGCTTTGGAGCTTCAGTGGTGCAATGATGCTGAACAAAAACCATGGCGAAACTCCTCAATTCTGTCGTCATTATGCAGAAGCTGCCGGTCATGATCCAAAATCAATGTAGCGCAGATTTTGTAAACATCATCAGCCTCATCCTCACGCTCACCCTTAGCCCCATCCTGCTCATCATCATGAAGAGCATCATCACCGCCACCCACGAAGGATAACGCAACCGAAACAGCGGGCTTGCTGGCTCGCTGGTTCCCACTGCGAGATGAATGACAAAGCCAAACCACGATCCAGAAGCATGAACATTGACGGACACATGCCTGGGCCTGGAACTGGAAACCCCACATCAAGTCGAAACTTACACAACCTGCTTCAGGAGACTCTGGCTAGATGCGGCGAAATCCATCCGAGGCATACCCCAGAACAAGTTGGCATGCAAAGACATCCAGTGATTGGGGTCAATAGCTGTTCCCAAAGAAGGGCACGAAGTGTACACATAGGAGTAGTTGCACCAGCGTGGGTGCCTACATCATCAAACAGCAACACCGCAACTTTGGGCAGCCCAGAAATTGCTTCTGACCTTTCGCGATGTCACGATCTGTTTCTGGTTCTGCCCAGCCTGCAACTCTCAATTCTTTGCCTGCTGCTTGAAGAGGATGCCGGATTTAACAAGCGCAGCTAGCTTGTAGTAGTATGCCCTGAAGCTAGTGGTGAGAAATTGAGACAACCTCAAGGAATCTCTTTGGATTCCTTAAGCCTGGTAATGCTACTGCTTGTCCGGGCCCCACACTCTCCCGACCCCGCTGCTGTCTTGGAGACACCTGACTCGCCAGGTCTCAAAGATCATCATGGCTAAGGTGTTGAGAGAGCCAGAAATCCACACTTTCGGGGATCCAGGTCCTGGAGAGTGGCTTCTTTTGAGGCAGTCACTGGCAGGACATTACCTAACAATCGCGTAATCTCACGTTATAACCTCGGCAGTAATAGCCTTGACCGTGTGCTGTAAAAACCCTGTCGCACCTGCCGTACTTTGTGAAACTGCATTCGATGCATAAGGCCGCGCAGAGCAACAAGTACGCCCTGCGTTGGTGTCTATCAAGCTATGGTGCCTCGATGTTAAGATTGTCGAAAGCATCATCACCGTCGAACATGAGCACTCATGATGAGCATCTACGATTTACGGTGATGTGGAGAATTCACTTTTCATGATGAAATCGCTATAAGCTCAACAAACGGTAATTACAGTTACTGTATGATGGCGGTATCCTCGAAACAAACAAAAGTGCGAGCAGGACACAAAGTTTTCCGTATGCGTAGTGATGTCTCTGGTGCAGTCACGCAGCTTTGGTCTGCCTCAGCACCCTTGGCAGAGGATTCGGTGCTGGACTTGGACTTGGATTCTCATGAACGTGTGTTTCCTGTTGATGGCTTTGGCTATCCTGTATGGCTCGTAGTTTCCATTTGCTTTTCCATTACCCCCTTATGACTCCTAAGTGTGACCCTGCTCTGGGAAGTCCAGCATAACCTTGATTGAGTACAAGAAATCTGCAGCACATGGACGAGGCACTGCGTGAGCACGGTGCCTCCTGCCTCCATGTCGAAGTGTTACCTTGGGCAGCGGGTAAGTGGGAAACATTTGGCTGTCACACTTACAATTACGCTGTAATCTAAACCCCTAGTATCCCCCTGAAAAACCCGTATAGTCTAGTCGTCCCCGAAACAAGTAATCCCGTATATAACGCCCCCCCCCCGAGTTTAGAAAACAACCAGCTTTCTATGATTGGTCTCAGGCAGCCAAGCCACCCCCAACGCCCAACAGCCCTTCGCAGGAGGCGTCTCCGCAAAGGCGTACAATGGCATGATGGGGCGCACACTGGACACTTGGACAAAACCGAACCTGACAACAAATGTTCTAGCGGAACCGACCCTTTAGTAATGTGCGGGAGATGGCCGCACACCGGCTGCGTGCACATTTGAGCTTTTCACACACGCTGCAGCATTCAGCCAAAACTTGACTTGTGCATCCCAACCTGCCGCCGGAAGCACGCAACAACCCAGATCAAGGGGCAACAGCAGGCAGCACGACATGTACAACCCTGACTACAGAATTCAAGTCAGCAAGCACGCCTAGCTGATTTTCCATGTTGATGCTTGTTGTGAACTTCCACTAGACAAAG